CCCCATGGCTGAAAGGGGGAGCATGTTTGGTGTGACAGGGATTCGGACCCGCGACCCGCAGATTACGAGTCGAGCGCCCTAACCACCTGGCTATGCCGGGCCTTGTTACGCTTGAAGCAGTACACCTGATCACGGAGAACATGCAGCTAAGATCGGCTGTAAATCTTCATGAAAAACACGTAACCCCAATGAAACAAACCTTGAAGCACATATATTATTATCTTGCAACATATTAATTATTTACAATATACATGAGAAAATCTAATGTCATGTTGAATCTAGGTACTGCAGTGGATGGTAAGTAAATAATACTTTAACTTTTTAATTTCTCATAGTAAACCATTAAGCTTTATGCCTTTAAAATTACAGTAAAAGCCTAATAATTAAAAACATAATAAATTTTTCACATATAAAGCTAAAACAAATAGTAGACACATCACAAACTGATAATACATCTACCTCCATGAACACAGAAGTCACAACCGTACTTGTCCAATGTTTCTATGGTAGTGATATATGGAGCACCTTCTACAACCTACAAATGTGAAAGTATATATTCCATCACAAACTACAATAAATAACGATGAATATTTTACCCGACAATAATAAAGTCAACAACAGCATAATACAGACTTATTGAATCAATCCAACAGGATCACATATTTAGTTCCAAATAATCTCAAGATTTTGTCATTTTCATTACTTTTAAATCAAAACAATGATGTAAAAAAGGTTTTAAATTTAATAAAATCAGATAGTATTGCATGCGACTTATTAAAGTAAAACATCATTATCTAGGGTTACACATTATTACAGCCCACGTCATTACTCTAGAGATTACACAGGCCTGTGAATTGAAACTTCATAAAAGTTGTTTTGGTTTCAATATCAGATTTTTCCATAACTCCGCTACGAAGATTTTTCTGAAATATTATTAATTTTTTCTATCACGTAAGGATTTTTTACAAATCTGGAGGAAGAAAAAAAACTCTTACTTGGATTAAATTATTATTTTGTTTATCACAATGAAAATTTTTGATTATTATGTTTGTTATGTTTGGGTTCTAGAACAATCGATAAGACTCTTAAGTCGCGATTGGTCTATAGAAATCTATAGCCAGTGGTTGTCCACATTTGAAGCATAACAAAATGTGAACCAATTTCAGAGAAAATGAATCATTTATGTAAAAGTACATATGATGTTTTTTGAAAAATCTGTACATGATGGAGAAAAATGGATATCGTTTTCAGATTCAGCATACAGGAATTATTGTAGAACATGTAAAACTTTCAAGAAAATAAAAACCATTGCAGGCCTATGTTATCAGAGAAACAGCCAAGCTGTAAGAGAACATATTTTTATCCTTTTGTTTTGCAAGAAAATATTTTTATCATTTTGTTTCACAAGCATATTTTTATCCTTTTGTTTCACAAGAAAACATATTTTGTATCCTTTTGTTTCATAAGAGAACATATTTTATCCTTTTGTTTCACAAGAGAACATATCTTTATCCTTTTGTTTCACAAGAGAACATATTTTTATCATTTTGTTTCATAAGAACATATTTTTATCCTTTTGTTTCATAAGAGAACATATTTTTATCCTTTTGTTTCACAAGAGAACATACTTTTATCATTTTGTTTCATAAGAACATATTTTTATCCTTTTGTTTCATAAGAGAACATATTTTTATCCTTTTGTTTCATAAGAGTACATATTTTTATCCTTTTGTTTCATAAGAGAACACATCTGTTATCCTTTTGTTTCATAAGAGAACATATTTTTATCCTTTTGTTTCACAAGAGAACATATTTTTATCATTTTGTTTCACAAGAAAACATATTTTGTATCCTTTTGTTTCAATTTTAATCTATTAAACTTCTTACCTCATCCACCCACTTGATAGCTCGCACCATCTTATATCGTTCTTCCTCATTAAATACTGGTGGTCCCTTATGTTTTGTAATTTCTGCTGTGTTAAAAATAAATTAAACAAGGTTCAATAGAAATCACATAATACACATTACAAACTTCTATACTTGTATTCATAATAATTGTAATGAATTTCTAAATAATTCAGTCTTTATATTCTTCATACTTTTTTTGTATGTATGTGTGTATATAGATAAGTACACATATGGATTAATCTATAAAATACAGTAACATATCAAAATATATTCCCAACTATTTCTGAGCCATACATCAGACAACTAAATCTGTAGAGAAACTGAACAAAATTACTGTGTTTAAAATTACACTAAGATTGCATACAAAGCAGTTTCTGGCTCTTGGATACAAGTGATTAATTACCTAAATTTAAAATTATAAATTTCTATCTTAAACCTAGACTTTTATTAGGTTTGCTTCACTAATCATAAGTAATAATGTAAAGAGAAACATCTGTTAATGCAGAGATATTATTGACAAGCTACATGTTTATTCATATTGACTTCAAAGAAATAAGATATTTGGCTTCTTCAACAAAAAAAGAGAACCGAATCACTAAGTTTGCATAAACATAAAGTTGTTTACTTCGGCTAGCCCTTAACAGCCTTATTATGTAGGTTTATTCTATTTATAAGATTATCGATTTTTCTCATCATGCATTTTTTCTATCCCATTTTAGCTGTGTTTGAATTTTAAATAATAAAAAGATGGCCATTTTCTTTTACGTTATATGGTAAATAACAGTTTACAAGTTGAACTAATCTGATTGAATAACTCTCTTTTATTCAGAGGTTAAGTTCATCGTTGGCCCTTGCTAAGATCTTAGAACAATTTGAGCAGACAGCTAAGCCTAATCTGTGCTCCAACATACTCAATTTATGTGACATTCTTAACCTTGCATGTTCTTTAACTCATGTCAGCAGTTCGCTTGTTTTGGAACTGATGTAACCTTGCTTGCAACAAGGATAAACAAGCTCATAAACTATAATGGTTGTTTTCAAGGAAGACGTATGATATTTATATCTGAAGAGATACAGTACAAGACATCCACGTTTTGAAATGCACTGAAATTGTATATGCAGGTACACTCTATGAAGTCAAGTGTATGGTTATTTTTTAACATACAAAAAATACTTTCCAATGTATAGCAAGATTATACAAACCAAATGTTAAAGTATTTCATATGTTGAAACCTTACTAGAGTTTCATTTATTCAAATAATCACAAATTATTATTCAACCAATCAGATAAACAGCAAAATTATTTTTGCATAGAAAACTTGTGATATTGCACAGTTCTTTAGGAAAAAAATTCATAAGTACTCGAGATTATACATGTACAGTGAACTTAAATCTTAAATAGATTTTCTTTAAACACAGTTAATATATAGCTCGAGAAATTGAAATAAAGACCTGTAAATACATTCAAAGTGTTACTCACAACATATCCAAAAATGAAAGTTCATGATCTTGCTGATGTTCAACAGTAAATTTAATAATTTTGTGTTTACTGTTCAAATATCCCCAAAACTGAGGAATACAATTTGAGCCCTTGAAAAGTGCCTTCTACATGTCTTCAATAATTTAATGGTTTAAAGGACTGTGATCCAACCATTCTTATTCATGAAGACAGAGAAAAATATTAGTTAAAGAAGGAACCAATCTAGAACCCATAGCTACATCACCAGTCAGATCATAAAGATCGTTGAACAGAAAGTGTGTTTCTTTACTTGCAAAATTCATTAACTTTACAAATGCAAATTTGGGAATGCATAACTCATCTGAATTATTGTAAATTAAATCTGTACACAACTATAAATTTAAGAATGCCTGAATCAAGTGTATCGAAACATGCCATAGGTGAGTGTGATACAGTCACCCATTTAAATTATTTAAAGATCTTAGCAAGGGCCAATGATAAACATACACTTGATACACAATATAGTTTATTCATTCATTAACTTAGGCCAGAAATCAATCAGATTAGTACAGCTTGTAAACTATTACATACCTTATAATTCCTCACACAGTTGAACACACAAAACAGAAAAAAAAAAACTTTAAAATTATTAGTCACAGAAAATGTTGTTAAAAGTTCACAGTGCATATATGTATGTAGGTAAGAACGCAAGCAAATTCATTAAATAATTATGATATCAGAATGTACAGTGTATGTGTATATACATTCGGATAAATGATGATAAATTGACACACCTAAATGAAAACTTTTTCTAGTATATTCTGTGCAACATTACGAGCAGATGTCCTTCACCAGGCATTAAGGATCATGTTACAATGGAATTAAGCTCAAAAAATATGGTAACATGATCTTTACTGCCTGATAAAGGACATCTGTTCAAAACATCGTACAAAATCAACTAAAAAAAGTTTTTCATATAAACACATCAATTTTACTAAACGTCTCACACCTGTAAAAGGCTTAGGTAATTGAGCCCGAAAGCTTGTGTATTAAAAAAATACAAAAACGTGGTGCTAGTCCAAGTAAGTTACTTAATACAAACATCAATTTCTTGTATATTATCATTTATCCAAGTTTTTCTTCTCACATCTTGTGGAACAACACTCATTAAAAAAAGATATATATAAACTTACCATCAGTGTGAACTCCCACTATCAAATAGTCTCCCATTGCTTTGGCCTGTGATAATAAAAGATGCAATGAGAGAATTATTCAAATGATATGCATACATCACAATGAACCACAATCAGATTGTGAGTGAAAACCACAGTTTAAACAATCTTTGAAAGTTTACATAGTTAATGTTTTGTAGTTACAACAGTTGGTTTTCTTAACCATATAGCTACAGACTGTTAGTAATGACCACAATTTAAACATACCTTGAAAGTTTACATGGCCAAAGTTTGTAGTTACAACAGCTGGTTTTCTTAATCAACAAGCTAGAGATCTCAATTGTATTGAAATTTCATACAGTTATGGATAAAAGTAAACAAAAAAAAATGAAAGGTAAAAAATATATATACAAAAACTGGTCAGAGAGAGAAGGATCAGAGCAAAGTTTAAATGCAAGAAGTAGGTGAAAAAAACTATGTACTTAATTTATTTTCACTTTTAGATAACTTCCCATACAAGTCACAATGACTGAAATCAAATATGAAACAAGAAATAGATTAGAAGTAATATTTTATGTTATAAGACGGATACATATAGATTTAAAACTAAATGGAGAAATATACATTAAAAAAAAGCCTGGAAACCAATATAATACATAATATCTATACCTAGAAAAAACTAAAAACTTTCCATAACAAAAACATGGAGAAAGGTGGATTTACTTTCATTAAATACAAATTCTATTTATACAGTAGCGCTTTTAGTTTTATATAAACCTCTTAGTAAACAAAACTACATTGAACAGCCTATGAGTATGTCAGAAAGTATTTCAATAAACCAGAGCATTAATAGTACAGTAACTGTTACACAGCAACAACACTTCATTTATAAAAATAATGCTTCAAGACTAACCTGCCGTAGTTGATTAGCATGTCCAAAATGAACCATATCATAACTGTAACAAAATTAAAAGGTACTGTTGTTAAAAATTTTCACAAGGCATATTAAGACAGTTTAGTAGAAAACTAAAGTCATATTCTTGGTATTTTCTTCAAATTTAATTTTAATTTCCCAGTTACTAAAATTACAATCTGTAGTTACAAATGTTTTTTAAAAACAAAGTTCATGTTTTACTTTAACAAAAGTAGCACTCAAATCATTCTAAAGTATTTTTGACTAATAATTTTTTAGTCTGCTGTTAACAAAATGAAAGCATTGCTATGAGCTCTTACAATAATTCAAAACGACTTCAGTACATGACCACAAATTCTCTTTGAATATGTATTTTGCAAAATGTGTACTTGAGTACTTGCTTAAAACTACTACTAACTATAAGCAAAAAAAAAACATATATAATACCAAGTAACAATTATTAATGTCATATCTATAACTTATTACAATTACTTTAAAGTTAAAATAACGAATGGTCATAAGCAGTCAGATCGAAAGTTTAAAGTGTTGTTTTTTTTTATATAAATATAACAATATGTGATGGTATTGTGGTTTGTAAGATATCTTAACTTCATTATATAACATGGAACTTTCTCTTTAAGCATGCTAAGCAGTATATCTATAAATATAAGACGACACATTTTCTAACTTGTGTGGTTACACTTTCCAGTAATGTAGTAGAAAATAAAGACTTGGAAGTGATTATGAATGTTTTATTTGTAAAATGATAGTCTGAAAAATGTTGAAATCTGTCTTACTTAAAAGAAAGGAATTTCTTTCGAATTGTACCAATGTCATTCAGTCTGGTATCAAACCCAACAACAAAAAAACTGTTGTTTCAAACATTGTTGTTAAATATATTTTTCTTTCCTGGATCCATGTTTTAAACAAAAAATTATTTTGCTCAGTAAGCAGTTTCATCTTTACTGGAAATGGAAAGTTCTACTGATGTTTTTTTATTTCAAGAAAAATATGCTTCATAAATCTTACTTAGTACACTTGGAATTAAAAGCATGCAATTAGCATTGTCTCTAAAAAGTCAGTTTTAAGGTTTTTTTTTGCTCGTTACTTAAATGGTACAACTTGATTTAGTAAACTGGAGAAAACATGATTTAATTCTTTAAAATTCATTAGTTGTTGACTGTCTGTCAAGGCTAAGGTAGTATTAATTATTATAAGAACTAGAGTTACTATTACCTGTAAAGCTGAAATTTCTGACAAAGTGACACTAAATGTTAATGGTAACATATAGTGTAACGCCTCAAGAAAATTTAAAGTTCATACTTTTAGTCTAGGAGCTGTGTATTACAAAGACCTATAAAATTAATTTTCACAGCACCTCTCCTAAAACATTACTTGTATGGTACCACTGTTTTGCCTTTCCTAAAGTCAATTTGCCACTGGCTAAGTCATAATCTGTCAAGGCATTTAGTTCACAGAGCAGAAAACAGGCCTTCTGACCCAATCTGTTTGAAATACGATGGTACAGAATATATTGAGATTTATTACTCATTTTTAACCATTTTCCTGCATTTAGTCATGTGCCGAAATAACTACAAAGGACAACTACATCTATGTCAGAGGACTAGACAACAACATGATCCTCCTCTTCCTTAACATCTGAAGCATGAAGAATAAGTCTGGTGCCAGATTCTTCCTGGATGTTTGTTACTCATTAAACATCATGATCTCACTCAAATCCACAGCTACATCATTAAAAAGAGAACTGCATGGCACCCATGCTCAAGGCATGTTATGAATGCTGAACTACAGTGCAAACACTGATTAAATTTGATCCAAGGTTTTGGTGCAACTGCTCCTTTAAATTAAACAATTTAAACAACAAATTATTTGATTAGGTTTGTTTGTTTGTAATTAAGCACAAAACTACACAATGGGCTATATATTCTCTGCCCACCACGGGTATCAAAACCCAGATTCTAGTGTTGTAAGTCCGCAGACATACTGCTGTGCCACTGGGAGGGGGGGGGGGGCATTTTAGTAGGACACCAACATGAAATGCTAAGCTTCAGAAACTGTTTTAATTTTTTCCAATTTTGACTTGTTTTACCTTTTAACTATGAAAATGTTTTTTCTCGTTTGCATAAACCTTGCAGTTCTAATACTTTAATGGCTAAATATGAATTCATGCCCAAAATACGTACGCTTATATTTTTTATACTTCACATCTATAAAAACAACTAATTCTAAAAAATCTCACTTTTAATTTTAATTGTAAATATTTTCTTCCCATATTTCTGATGTATGTTGGTGTTACAAAGCCTCATAAAATGTTTATTGGAGTGAATACAGGTTGACACCAAGACTTCTTAGAAATAGAATCTACACAAATCTGACTTTCACTTTCAATTTGTAATGATGCCAAGCGTCAAATGTTGTAAAACTTAAACGGGCACGGCATCACAAATAACTCCCGATCCTACCTTCTACTTCCACTACTTTATATATATTATAGTTTTAGTTTACTATATGTGAATTCATAAAGTTTATTAAATTACACAAAACTCGAGCGCCGAAGTACTGAAGATTTAACTATTCCGTATTCGAAAGCACTCGAGTTTTGGGTCATTTTATTTTTAGATTCATTGTACATTTTATTTTTAAGCGTGATCCTGTGTGCTAACTCTTTTATCAGAATTCATAAAGTTTATTTTCAAATTTACTAATAATGAACATACCATCCATCACACCATACTCGAACACAGGACTTCAAATGCTTTTTACTTTCATCTGAATCATCCATTTCGTCTGCAAATCGTTTATTCTTGTTAGGCATAGTGTCTTCGGAAATTGACTATAAAACACTTTTCCTGTAGCAGTAATTTTGGCCGCCTAACGGAATGTTATATTTACACTTATTTATTTATTTTATTTTAAAAATTTATCACTGAAAACAAAGAAGATTTCGCTGTTAATAATTTCTCAATCACGCTACATCTGTCATATACATAATACAGGGCCGACAAGGCCTTTCGTCAGTAACAGAGCTCATCAAACCGGCTGGGTTACAATAGACTTTGTAGACTGTAGAGGTCGAGACACGAATTATATCATCAATTTTATGAACAACAACCGTTAAGGTGTGACTTAAGTCAAGTAGTGAATGATAATTATTATGGATTTTATCAGACAAGATTAATCCAAAAATTGGTGGTAGATACTATTGGCAAACTGCCTTCTATGTAACCTAACAGTACAAAATTTGGAACGGCTATGCATAGATAACTCTTATGTAACTTTGCGTGTGTTGTTTTTCTATAACAAAGCCACATCGGGCTATCTGTTGTGTCCTCCGATGGGAATCGAACCCCTGAGTTTAGCGTCGTAAATCCGTAGAATTACCGCTGTCCCACCAAGGGAATTCACTTTGCACAGAAGATTAAAAAGAACTACATTAAAGGTAAAATGTTAAACTTAAATAATGTTACGACAGCGGAAGTCATGTGACGCTGGAAGCATGCGCGCTGGAGTTCCTAGAAGGATCATGACTGTTCCTGGTAACTCTAGTCTTTTCTAGGCGCTCTCTATTTTAGTATATAAGCCCGGAAAATAAAGCGGAGATATTTGCAGATAGATGGAAATAAAGACAGATAATTGAGTCAAGTGAGCGGTAGTGACCGTAACTAAAATGCGTGAATCGTTGTGAATTATAGCGTGTGTTTAAGTTAAAGTGACTGTGGAAATTCTGTGTATTATAAAGTTGTATCGAGAAATAATAAACTAGTTTTAATTAAGAAAGGTCGTCTTGTATCGCTAAAGTTTCTCGGAAAGAATTTTTACGGGAAATTATCAAACAAGCAGATACGTAACAATAACTTTATCTTTAATAAACGCTCACACATTGTATTAGTAACTATTTAACAAAATAGTGATTATGACTTAAATTCTGGAGCCTCAAAGTGTATTGTTTTCAATAAAAATTATTTATTTTCTTTCCGTAAATATATGACATATTAGAAAGTTTATTCTGTACAGTAAATTTTTGAGAAGGAATGGAGGCAAAAATTGGCATGAGGTGTTACCTTTTAAAAAAGTAAATTATCTTACCGTTATCGTTAGTGACTCACTACAAAGTTTCTATGCATAACGTTGAACAAATTATCCTGTTTTAGATTTTACTATTTCTCATCATATTTTGTGAACAAGGACAATATTGAGAATATGAATCTGACTGACGTAACTAATGAATTGGTAGATGGAAACACGGGACAACAAACGCTGTTTAGATAGTGTTAATAGGCATGTGACCTTGGGTAATGTAAAAAAAAAATCTACGTGTTGTGTATGTAATTTTAATATAGAATGTCAGTCAAAAGAGCCACAAAGTTCCTTTTGATCTAGTTATTCACGAAACTAGTTCTTTCATCTAGGGTATCACGTGCACTTTCTCTTGGAAAGATTGCTGTAACGTAAAAACAAATGGGTAGAAACAGTGATCGTTTCTCCTGGCAAGTTAGATGATATCCCAATAATAAAATATCCCTTACTTTGTAGCGAGAATGACCATCAGTCATGTGCTTAGCGTCTGCAACTTGAAAAGTTTCTTAGTTTGTCGGTAAGCACAAAGCTACACAATAGGCTGTGTTCTGCACACTGCAGGTAGCGAAAGGTAATTTTTTTTAGCATTACAAGCCCTTAAACTTCCACTGAGCCATTTGGGAGGGGGTGCGACCAGAGAAAAATGGCATTATTATTGTTGTTTTTCATATATAATACAACGTTTTCTCAGACTGGAGCAAAATTATATTTTAACAGATATACTTGATTTAATGAACCCTCCAGTTAAGGCACTATATAATACACTTGTATTGAACTTTGATTGCCATTTGACTGAAATAAAAAGTGTTTCACTGTGTTATACATTGTATCCAGTCTCTTTCCTTTGTTTTCTGAACTCAGCCGAAATTATATAATTATGATTTTCGCTCCACAAAATATTTTCTGGTGAATCTCCTTTTATTTTGCGGTCCATACTCAATTACTTGGTGAATCTGAGAATAATACAACCTATCACACATAATTTTGTTGAGTCTAACGAAGCACGTGATAATACTTATTCATCAAAAGCCAGGAGGCCCGCCAACAGGGG